CATGCCAGCATTGATTCGAAAAAGATTTCATCCTCATGACTCATTACTAACATATTGTAATTATGACGGTCAGCTGGCAGGACCAGAATGGTATTTCCAATTCTGCCAATGATCATTGTTAATCCGAGGGTACTGGAACCGGTGAGTTTATTTAACAACCAGCATATTAGGTATTTTGCAAGACGTATAATAATATTGATTTTTCTTATAATTATTAGATTAGAGTTCATTTATTCCAAATTACAATCCTCACGATATCGTTAATAATTTAAACGATTAATTAACAATGAAAAGTCAATTCCAATGCATCCCTGGTATTGTAACATTATTAATAATCATTTAATAGAATCCTTTAACAGACTTTGGATTGGTCAACTATCTTTCGGTTAATTATCTTTTGGTTAATTAACCAGGTTAATTAACGCCCATCCCTAATTCCTGAACACCCTCCAATCAAAATTCAGTAAAACTCCGCTTCCTTAAGCGTTTTTTTTCTAAAACAAAAAAATATTTTTCTTCTGAAATTATATCATGAGATTTTACATTTGAAATTCTTATTAACGGTAAGGTTTATATTAAAAAAAAAAAAAAAATCACATACTAAAACATAAACTTAAATTAAATTTATTTTTTCAAGATACAGAGTTGGTATTTTATTCGCAAGAAGCTATTGATAAAAGAAATGTTCTAAAAAAGAAAGATAATAACGGGTTATTAACTTTTTATATTTATCATTTTTTTTTTTTTGTTACATCATACTTATGATTATATTTTTTATTTTTTTTTATATTTTTAGTAAATATGTGACTTATGTTGCAGTTCCGGAGTTTTCCAGTTATTTACTATTAGAGTTGGAGAAGTAGATTCCGCTTTTCAGACATTTTTAGGTTGGGCTCGACTTGTTTTAGGAGCATGATTTGAATATTACACTTCAAAGAGTATCTATGAATTCAAATTACGTGTACAAAGGTTTATTACAAACAAATTAAGTCAGTGTTCGGAACTATCAATTCTTGAGTGTTCACATAGTCGACTTGGAAAAGTGTCAGTTATGTTGTTAATGTCGTTCATAGTACAATATCATGTTAGCGAAAGGAATTGTTTTTGGTCAACCAAGCAGCAACACGCTTGAGGGAGTTTGGATATTGGTTGTTTGATCGATATCTTCACCTTTGAGGCGCCAAAGGTTTCAGAGTATAAGGCATGCGCTCGAACGTTACGAGAATAACCCATGATTCCAGTTAAACCGTGTAAAGTTTGTGTTAGAGGTCGTCCTAGGGAGCAGTAAAGAAGTACTTTCTTTCTCTTGTTTAAGGGTACAAATAGGATTTTGTCTGGTGTGGGTGAACGTTAACTTGTAGAAGGCTTCCTACGATTAATGTGACAATTCTCGGTTGAGTGATTCAATTAACATTCTGGATGAAAGATTGCGAGATGTCAGGTAAGTTTCGTTGTGTAGGTAATCAATAGAGGCGTTATTAATTGACCAAGACGTTATCTCGAAGTATAGAAGGTTTCCGCGATAGATACAAGCCATTTGACAAAATTTTTTTTTTAAATTTTTTATAATCTTTGGTTTACGTCACCAAGATTCGATGGTGGTGCGTCAGGGTAATCTCGACTAGAAAGGCCAGTCCGAAATTTTATACTCAGTATCAAACGTATTGATACTATTAATACGGTAGGTCATATAAAGAAGTTTTATTTTTTTCAGTTTTAAAAATTTTTCATTTATTAATCAAGAAATATTATTATTATTATAATGGATCAATTTTGGAAATATATACATATTTTTTTTTTTGAATTCAATTCTTAATTTATTAGTAGCAATTTAAGGCATAGAGTCAAACATTATTTTAAAAAATATTCAGTTGATCTGTTTTGAAATTTCAATTTGAATTTCGAACCGAAAAAATTTTCTTTTTTTGGTTAAATATATTGCAAATTTATAGTTCAATATTAGGTAACGACATCAAAACGAGAGAACAGTGTATTGAAAATCCAACTCTACTCGGCTTGCCAATTATTGAGACAATATGATGGATTAAATACTCCTGATCCAAGCAAACATTGCACACAGAGAACTTACAAATTTTTTTTTAATAAAGCTGCCTCCCGAAATTCGGAGGCGACTTTTATTAGTTTAAAGATGCAATTTGCCTTTATAGGTCGTCTTGACGAGGATTATGCGCTTTTTTTATTTAATTGTACAAAATTATTATTTGAATAAAACTATTAAAAAGGTCTTTTTTAAGATAAATAAAGTAATCATTATAACTAACTATCTATAATGCACGCATTGTGAATTCCCTTCCAAAATTAAATCCAATCTCATTCATTCATCGTTTCGTCCCGTCTCTATTATGTTTTCTACTGTCCCAACTGTCCCAAAAACTTCTTTACTAATAAACTATATACACTTCTTCTCCAAATTCCATCCTTGATAGGGAAATATCTATTGGTTTCGAAAAACCAATTCCGTCTGTTGCAGTTATTTTTACACCATTGGATGAAATCTCTACGTACATTTCTCTGTCTTTGATAGTTTAATAGTGCGAATAGTGTGAAAAAGAATGAAAAAGAGTGAAAAAGAGTTAAAAGAGTCTCGTAAAATAAACCTTAACTATATACAAATTCTACACCAAAATGTAAAACAAACCTTAATTATTTAATCCTTTTCCAAAAAGTTTGCGACTTTCGCATTCGCTTAGAAAGATAAGATTTAGAGTTTTAAACTGGATACTTGAACATATATATACTGTTTAATTTTAGAGTTGTCAGTAAATGACAAGGAACATGTATGTATTGTTTAGTAACGTCAGGAATATACTTTTTTTTTTAAAAAAGAATTTTGTGAATTTTTTGATTTTTTTTTTTTTGTTTTTTTTAAGTAAGTTTGAAATTTTGACAAATCGAAAGTCCGCAGAATAAAAATAGAATTATTTGGTAGAAATGTCAGATCACTTGTCGATCACTAATTAAAATTTTGTGTAATATTAATAACTAGACAATAGCCGTCTAATGCAACGTGATTTTGTCTAAAGTAACTTGCCAACGAACCTTAAGAAACTTTTGTTCTTCTTGTTTCGGTCTACACACTTTAATATTTTTCTCCAACAGTATGACACTTGCACGAAAACTTTATATAAGACCAACTTTCCCTATTTTTTTGACCTTAACCTTGAGATACAAGTTTATATGATCATTAAAATCTATTTTAAAACCATAACTATATGTATTTTTTCAAGCAGAATCGATTTACTTAGTCAATAAAAAGCATTTTAAATAGTGTTTTTGCGATAAATAGCTCATTTTATTTTAACGATATTACTGTATATTTGTGAAAATTACAAAATAAGGAAAGTAATTTGTAAAATTTATAAAAATTTACTTGTCCTTATGATATTTCCACCATTTTTTCACCTTTTTTACAGTTCAAATTTCAGATAATTTCTCACGAACAGAGATAATGGCATCATCTGAAAGATCACTTTTATATGTTTTTAACACACAAAGGATTGCTATTTCATCTTCAATGGTTATATATTTGGTGCATGTTGTCTTTCTTCATTTAGGTTATAGTTTAGTGATGTGTGGTGTTTCATTTGGAGTTTATGCCATTGTTCTTGTTCTCTTTTTAACCCTCTTTTTGTTATAATCTTTTGGTTTTGTTCTAACAACTCCTATTGTTCTTCTACCCTGTGAATTTCGATGTTCTATCTCTAAAACTTCTTGTTGATATACAGATTTTATTTGTTCTAACTTATCTAAGTAACAAGCAATCAACTGATTAAGCCCTTCCTGATATATTTCTGTAGGTTTATATTCTTGAAAAAGTTGATGAGATAACAGGTTAACCATTCCAAACACTTCTACAAGATCATTTACAAGTTCTCACATAGATTCTTTATGCAACTTAACAGCTCGTTCATTACAGAATACTGAATAATCATCAAGGTATTCACTCATCAATAAATCTATTCTTTCTCTTTTGTCTTGAGAAACTTTTATTTGATCTCTAAAATTCTTCTCATCAAATATGTTGCCACTAATGTTTTGCTTGATGAATCTTACATCAAAGGTTTTTAAGGTCTCATCAAATCCAAAATACATATGGTGTGTATTATTAGAATCTTTATCAATATTATGAAAAATTTTAAATGCATCATAATAACATAGTTTTTCTTTTAATTTAGGATGAGTGGCTATAATACTAAGATAATGAGCTATGGCCGTTATATAGTTTGATTTGGCAGTATTTGCATAAAGAGGTTCAGCTGCAGATAATAAATTTCGTTATATATTAAAATTTCCTACACGTATTTCTATCCTGTGTGCTTTCTATATTTCTGCCCATTTATAATATAGATATCACACCTAATATATGTTTGTAAAAATTTTTTATTTGTAATTGAATAGATTTAATATTTACATTTTTTTCATTGTAATAATTATATTTTAAATTAATAATTCATAGTCTAACAAAAGTTAAATTAAAAGTTTCTTTTTATTAAAAAATATTGTAAATATTTTTAATATACCTTAAGACAAATATGTGAGCTATCTTCATTATCCATTATTTCATGAAGAGATATTCCTGTTTTGGTAATATAAATATTAAATAGCTATTCCAACTGCAACCTATAAAAGATCAAGTACTCGTATAGTTGAATGGTAGTCAACTAAAGATTCAAATTTATTCAAAAAACGAACACCCAAATGTGATGCTAAACTTAGTAAGCTATAACTAGAAAATAACACCAATATAACAGAACAAAAATCCTTTGATGTATGCCATTATCCAAGTAAAGGTCTTATATTTGGCCATTTTATCTGATACTTGATTAATTTACAAAAGATAGCTTCGTTTGCAACAATGTTTAGAAATAAATGATTTTTTAATACAAAGTCTTCCTTATATATTTCAGCCATATGTAAAATCTCTTTATTTGAATTTGGACTGATACCTGGTTCTAATATTATAATATTAGGAGAAGACCTACAATATTTACGATCTAATTTAGTAAGTATAGTATGTTTAACAGTTTCTGTATCAAAATTTGTATTATAAACTAATTCTTCATTGGTTTTTTAAAATCCAGTAATTTGTAGAGAACTTGCTGAAATATAGTTAACGTTTTATCAACAACTTGATTCATTTCAAACAATGGAGTCTCAGCTATTAATTCAATAATTTCCTCTGGTTTAGCTTCTATTTCAACTGAAAATTGAACTTGAAATGCCATCCTTAGAGTAGCATATGAATTATTATGTATAATATCATAAATGTTGCTCAATTTGAAACTTTTCTCCTTGAAATTGATGTTATCAATGATTACTAAATTCCAGACATTTTTATTTTGCATGAGACAGCTTGCTGGATTTGATTTTTCCATTTGAGTTTTTGCAAGTGATCGTTCATGTCTATCACTATGTGATATTACATGAAAAACTTTTAATAACCATTGAAAAGAGCTCAATAATCGTGGCATACGACCAAGTCTAACTAAACTTGAGAAATCTAAATTTTCAAGTGAGAAAAGGCAATTCCTAATAACATAGACATTATAAATGTCATAATTTTTATTATCTGTTCAGGGGATATAGTTTTTGGTAGGTTATTACATTTTTTTCGCTGCCAGTTATATACTTTATTTTTATTCTGATATAATTTATTAATCATTTCAGAAAAGAAATCAATTAAGAATTTAAAAAAACCATCATAATATTCTCAGATAGTATTTAGAAATTTTAGTGCAGATTTTTTATGTTAATGTCTGATCATGCATTCCATAATTTTCTTCTGAATGCATGTTTAAATTCCTGAAGATAATTACAAATAATCAAATAAAATTTTTGCTTTATAGATAATACTTTCTATCTAATTAAAATAAAATACACATCACTTCAAAATCACTTATTTCCAAATTTTTTTCAATTTTTTTTTTTTATTTTTTTTAGAAGTTTCTATAAAAATCATTCTTATTATAAATAAACTAGGTGTTTCAGTTAGAGGGGTTTTTCAATTTGTTTGACTGAAAGTAATTAACAAATGGAAGGAAAGTTTTGAATGTCTCAATTAATAAATCTTTTTTGATTTCATTATTTTCTATTTATGCAATATTAATTAACCAATCACCTAAAAATTCAAGTACCTTTATTACATCTTCTTTGTGTAAATTTTTGGTAATACATGTTACTGCTTTTTTTCCTTTTCCAGGACGATGATAAATATGTCCACCTAATTTTTCGTAATATAAATAATAAATACATTAAGATTTTGTAATATCAAATGCACATTTACATAAAGGTAGATATGCTCATAATGCTTTACATGCATATTGATCAATGCAAGATATTTGGATATTTTGACTATTCAAATTCCAAGTGTGAATAGTGCATTCTGTACCCTGTGAAAATATGTCACATATTTGTCACAAAAAATATACTAATGCCATTGAATAATTGCTTGATCAACGTCTTTTAATTGTTTATTTTGTGATTTGTGCAAATATTTGTTATCAAATTGAAAATGAGAGTCGCATACTCCTAATCTTGATAAAATACCATCAACTTCTTTAATAGCATCTTTATCAACTTGCTACAACCAAATAAATTGTGTAATAGCCTTAATTTTATTGAATTTCCACATTGCTGAATTTTGTCTTTAATAAAATCAATAACTACACATAACGCTAGTTCTATACACTCTAAAGGATTTATAATTTCTTCTTTTTCAAAAGATTCATTGTCATATTTCTCATTTTCTTTAAAGTCATTAAAATCATCAGAATCTATATCACTAGTGCTAATATCATTAGGTATTTCATATAAATGTTCTAATAAAAATTCTTCTTGTTTAAATTCTCTATTACTGTCATATTCTTTTTCTGCAAAAAACAAGGGTAGGGGAGAGAAAATTTCACAGTTTTGTTCAGACATTAAAATTTTTTTTTACCAAAAAAAGAGGCAACTTGGAAGCTGAAATGCAAGTTTTTTAAAACTTCTTTTATCAAAACAAAGATAAAAATGATCTTTTTTTATTTCATTTTATCGCTTTTATTAGTATCATGAACTATAGTTGAACAGCATTTTTGTATGTTATAACATTGTCAAATTTAACAATTTTTCGCTCATTATATATGTTATTTATAGTAAAAGTTGACCAATAATTGTCTAATCTCAATAAAAATTGGCGTATTACAAATCATAAATAATATGAAGTCATGTGCAAAATTTAAGTATAAGTTATTATGTAAAATTTTTTTATATAACCTAAAACTGTTTTATTAAAAGTGTTAAATTTTAATGTTAATCATATAATAAAAATTGACTCTACATGCTGATCCCTGATATTTTCACTAACTGATATTATTTTAATTTTTATTTTTCCTGAAAAGTGATATATTTAGCCTAGGTTAGATTTGATTTTGGGGGAGTTCAAGGTCAGTCTTCTTTAGTAGGGCAAATTTGGGAGTCCTGGGATCAAAAAAAAAAAGGTATTCAGAAAGCTCCCAATCATAAGCCT